ATTGCATTTTACTTGTATTCCATTTTAGACTTGATATATGGTATGACCATGATTTGGTGCTTGATATATGTTAATTAGGGATCATTTGAATAACTTTTGAAATCTAGAGATTTGATTAATTTAAATTAATTAAATTCTATATGATGCTATCTTGCTCATTTGACATTTTTGATTTGATATATGTAATGAGCATTCTATATTGTTTAACATATAGTAATTTGAGGTTATTCAAATTTGATTTGAAATCTAGAGAATTTGATTATCTTGTTTAATTAAATTCTATCTAATGGCTCCATGGATCTATTGGTATTTTAGAAGTTGTTTCTATATTCAAATCATGGACTTAAACTTGTTATGTATTCACTTTGTTGTGTTTTGAGCAATAGACAACTTTGTTGTTATATTTATATTCATGAGAACATGTTTTCTTTATGGAATATATTGATGCCATATGTAATGAATTGCACACTATGCAATTGACATTATATATGCCAATTTAGAATTGAAACTCTAAGGCATGGATTGTGTGGTTTCAACCTACTTGTGCATGGAAGGTGGTTTTCGTGCATTATATAAATTACGTATAAGTTGTGAACTTATTTGATTATTTTGGAGTCTTGGAACAATGTTACAAGTGACATGGCTAGAGTTTGGCTCTAGTGCGGGAGGTATGAGTTCTCCCCAATTGAGATAATGCGCACTTGGGTGGTCGTCCCAGCTGGTTAATGCCCGGAATAACCATTTAGTTCTCGGCGGAAATCCGAGACGTGATGTCCAAGTCTTCCACTATTTGATTTCGCATTCAATTCCAAGTTGACAATCATGTTTAATTGTGACTTGTGGTTTTGGCTATTGGCGGTTGATGTTGTTAAGTACATCCATACTAAGTTATTATATTTAGTTGTTTTCACACTTTTAGATTTCAAATTGATAACTTAGAGAATCTATGTCTTGATGTGTGGTATTTGAAATTCTAATTGTACTAAATTGTTATATTTAGTTGTTATTGCATTTTAAATTTCATGATGGTAACCTTGAGAATCTATATCTTGATACTTGTGTAGCACGCTTCTATGTTGGTTAACTGCGTAGATATTGTGATTTGTGCTTTGTTGTTCAAATGTGACTTTGGAATGATCCTATAAATTCATTTGGAACATAGACTTTAGGTGGCATGATCCACTATAATTGTTTTAGCATTTTAGATTTCAAGTTAATGACCTTGAGAATCTACATCTTGTTGCTTTGTATAGCATGCTCCCATGTTACTTGAATTGCATGAATGATGTGATTTGTGCTAGAAATGATCTTAGGTAGCTTAGGATGCTCCCTGGGTCACATTTTGACATAGACGTTAGGTGGCATGAGCCCCTTTAACATGTTTCACCTTAAGGTGATAAAATTGTAAAAAGTTAAGTCGAGTAACTTTATGTTACTAACCCATGTTGTGGGGACATTTTTCAGGTACAGGAATTAAAGTTGAGACTCTCATTATGCTTGGATGGTTTGTGGACTTGGAGGTTTCCATCTTTGTGAAGGTTGGCTTGGAATGCCATTTGTAACCTTATTTGTTAAAATGTGTATATTTGATTCCATATATGTAGTGTGTACATGAGTGCACTCTTTACAATGTATTCAACATGTATAAGATGAGGCCGGAAGCCAATGTCATATATTTTGTATCCTATGAGACTTATGATTTCATGAAATATTATGAAAATATTGAAAAATGCCAAGTAATAGTTTCACCATGTTTGCATCGGGTATGGGAATTTCATTTTTTATTCTTTCATAGGGTCTCATTAATCATGTACGAAGTGTGGCCAATGGCCAAACGGTCATTTGAAGTCATTTGTTGATTTTGGTTTTCTAAGTTTCCATTTTAAGTTCATTTTCGCCTTTTTGGCCGTCGGAGGGTCGGATTTTCACTCGGCCATTTCTGGGAGCCGCGGACCATTCCCGCGAGCTCAAAATCACTATTTACATTTGCGTGAATGATCATTTTCATGAAAACCTCTTTCGTTTGTGTTTTGAGCCTCCTATGGACTCATTTCATCTTTTTGTTGAAAAATCCAGCTTAAGGGTATTTTGGGAATTTTTTTTGGAAAATAAATTCCATTCTTGACTCCATCACATAGAAAATGTGATTTTAGGGGGTGTTTCTTCACGACATTTTTCCGAAAAATGTCATCTTGACCTTAAAAACCGTGTCGCAAACTCATTTTTCTACTAAAACACTGTTTCTGCTGCATTTTGGGTGTTCTGTTCAAGTTGAACCGGTTCAAGAATAGTTGAATTTCTTGAACCGGTTCAAGGTGTCATTTCGGTTCAGCTTGGGCGTACTACCAATGTTGAACCGTTTCAAAGAGGTTGAACCGGTTCAAGTTCTCCAGAGTTTTCAGTTTTGGTCATCTAATTTCAATCTGATGTAACTTCTTCGTTTTAACTTCGAATTGGTCCGTTCTTGAGTCTAAATTGACCGCGTCGAAGTAAGCTTTTCAATGGTATAAATTTTAGTTTCAAATTCTTCTCCTAGCTCAAGATATACTTATTTTAGTGAGAGTATGTTAGTTTTGGTTCGAACCGGGATAGGTTTCTTCTGGGATTTCATTTCCGTTGGCCTTGAGACTTCATGTGAAGTTACCAAATGATGTTTTTAGATGTTTTTGATCTCATTTGACTTGTTGGGATTCAAATTCCTTCCTCTTAGGGTAAAATGACCATTTTAGCCTTGGTCCTTCTTTTGGTAGTGTTTTGATACCCTTGTCTTCATTTTGCTTCCGCTGTGTTTTGAAATTCCTTGAAGGGCCATTCTTGTGTCTTAAGGATGATGTACATCTCTAAGGACTTGGTTTCATTTTGCTTCCGCATTTTGGATCCGCTTCGGGTCATCATAGGACACACTGGGTTGAAAAATCCAGGGTCGTCACATAACAACACGTATATATAACTTAAAATATAAATACAATGTATAACTATAGTACCCTTTTGGGTGGCAACTATAGAATACCAATAATAATGTTTATTTGTATTTATATGTATACCTTTATTGGTGATGCATTATTTAATTAAATAAATAAGTTATCTTTGGGTATCATATATCTACACAATTAAAAAATACATACAACCCCTTAATTTTCATTTAATCACTTGAAAATCAATTCCCTTTAGGAAATTATTTCTCATGATTAAATAAACTAAATATTCATGAATATCATTAGAAATCATTAGTATCAATAATTCATGAAATATTTCAATTATGTATACTACTAAAATTAATATTCATCAACCATTATGGTTAGGCCACTTTGACAGCTACCAACATTTATATAATATGAATATTAAATTAGCTAATGACTAATTCGTCATTAATTATGTTTACTACTAAAATTAAGATTCATTAATCATCATGGTTAGGCCACTTTTGTAGCTACTAACCCACATATAATATGAATATTAAATTAACTAATAATTAATTAATCATTAATTTACCCATTTAACATTATACACACATACTCATACTGATCGATCCAAGTTTAGGTAAGTTCGATTCCAGAAACTTAATAGTCCAAAAATTCAATTAAAATATCCTTTTAATTTTTATATATAATAAAACATATTATTTTTTATTTTTGAACTTAGAGATCATAATTAAATCAATTAAAAATTGATTTTCCTTCATATATGTATGTTTGGGTACAAAATAATAATTTATTTGCATGTCTGACAAGATTAAATATCTAGACTCACATATCATTCATTCAGGAAAAAAAATAGACTCACATAACATTCTAGAAATTCATATTTCTAATTAAAGAAATTAATCTATATAATTATTTAATCATGCAAATCACAAACTTAATTTATATAATTATTCTCCATTAATTTATCATATATGTAATTAATGATATATGATACAAGTATATATATAAGCCTGTACAAAAACCTAACATTTAATATTAAAATTGATCACCTCGATTTGCGCAAACTTTTTCAATTTATCTAGTCATGCATTGAATCAAAAGGCAAACACATTAATATAATATATTTGTCTTATTATACATATGCATACATGTGTCATTAACTAACTTTTAAACAATTCAATTATGTTAGGAAATCGAGGTATCCATACCCAAATATCGCACACTGAACCAAAATATTAGGAATACTAAAATTTTTCATATAATATATAAACAAATATATATATATATATATATATATAGACGTGCACCAATTCTATCATACAATTATTTAATTTTATTTACACCTATTAATTATGCAACATTAAAGGAAAATAATGAGTTCATACACCATAAGCTCTGATAGCACATATAATCTTTTATTATTCATGTCAAGCATTAATCACAAATAATCATGAATCCCAAGATCTTAAAACTTCATTATTTTCACATTCTTATAATGCATAAATATATAGTTAAATATATATATATATACCTCGATCTATAATAGCAAATCTTGCTGAGATCAAGTCCAACATCGAGATTCTTTAACAACAAATTAAGTTGCAATTCCAAACAATAAGCAAAGCGTGGAAACGGATTACTCACTCTTAGCATTTTGCACATATAAACATTACAAGTGTTGTTTTCATTAATGTACATAACTGATGAGAGGACCGATTTTTCTTTCAGTAACCTTAATTTCACTTTCCATCAAAATAAGGAATAAATAAAAAAACACTTCCTCAATAATTAATTACTAAAAAAATAATTTATAAGTTAACCAAATAATATAATTTTAATCTGATATCTATCTACTGAATCATTAATTAATAAAATATATCACGTGTCCAAATCATTTGGATACACAATTAATAAATAATCTTTACAAAAAAATAATAATGGTGCAGATTCGTTATGAAGAACAGATTAGAGACACGATGATGAGGAAGGCCACAGTAAGCATATAAGCTGATGATTCGTACAAGCCATCAATGAATGGCTGTGATACCATATTGAATATAAGAGAGAGATACAATATAGGTTCTGATTGTTGATATATCTTAATTATATACAAATAGAGAAATATACATAGGCTAGTGAACAAGTGAATAACGGCTACAAGCACGGGACAACAACTATAATATATATGATACAATCACAGTACAACAGTTATATTATATATGATATTATTATGTTAACAAGAATGTACTATCGGTTCTGATGATATTGAAACTGATAAAAGCGTATGTGGAGAATCCGAAATGGTCAACTGGGTGGCCGGAGAATCTCCCGGTGGTGGACGGAGTCTGACGTTTTGGGGGAAGTTGAGTTTGGCCTTGTCGCCTCTGAAGTTGAGAGCTGCTTCATCATAGGCTCTTGCAGCTTCTTCGGCAGTGTCAAATGTGCCTAACTAAACCTTGGCAGCATTGTAAATTTCAGCTACCCACTTGCCCGATGGCCTCTGTCTCACTCCTCTGTATTTCCTCCTCGGCTCTCCAAGATTGTCATATGTGGGAGTGTATGTATATGCAAACTCTGTTGTTGGTGTTTTTCTTGTCCTAATGCTTGAACTTTCTGTAACTGCAGAAATTAAATACCAAATAATTAAAAGAGGGATTTTGAGGTATTAGACAAGTTCTAAAACATTAATCCCTCTACCACTTTATATTAAAAAAATATTTTTTTATCAAATAAAAATTAATTGCCACAATTTAATATATTTTATATTAAAATAATTTTTATTAGTATTTAATATATAACATTAGTATATAACATAAATAATATGAATTTTTTTAAAAATGAATAGTGGCTGTGTAGTAATAATAGTGAAAACGTTTGTAAGGCCGAAAACAGAAGAAACACTTTTTTTTTATGTTTTCTCTTTTATTCACAAAAATAAAAAAACTTATTTTGTCATAGAGAAAAAATATATATTATTAAACATGATTTTTTTTTTTCTCTTTTTTTTTGCCTTTTTAAAAATTGACAACATAAAACAAAAATAATGTTTTGGGTTACCAAAGGCACACTAACAAATTAGTTAAGCCATACACAGCGATTAAAAAAAAAAAACGGGTGTAGCAATAACCACTAAACTTAAGTGAAAGCTATGAAGTACGGACATGGATACGGGTACGACACGATAGGGATACAACAACACGGCAAATTTCAAAAAAATAAGATACGGACACGGCGGGGATACGCCCATAAAATTATATATATATATATATATATTCAAAATATAATTACTAGAACCTTGCACACTCATTTTCCTAATAACAAACAAGTATATATAAATACAAAATTGCAAATAAAATAACAACAAATAATAAGACCAATTTTAATAATTTCATCTCTGTTATAAGAAAAACATAGACAGAACAGAAAATAAATGAAAAATAAAGTTGATCCAAACTCTAAATGAAGATGTGCAGAAGAGACATATCTATAATAAGCTAAATATGTACATGAATAAACATAAATACTTTCAGTCTTTCACCAAATTTTGTTCATGTAACTTAAAAAAAATAAAAAAATGTCTTATTCATGTAGAGAGATAATTGAAGAAGATGATAGACTGAGAGAGGAAGTGAGAGAAAATAAATTTTCTGTGTAATACTTTGTTGTCTGTAGTTGTTTTTTTATTTTTTCAAAATTTTATTTTTAAACTTTTAAAATTAATAAATTACATTAGGTACCTCATTTATCTTTTAAAAAATTACAAAATATACCCTACCGTGTCCTATCCTAAAAAAATTACAAAATATACCCCGTCGTGTCCCCCGCATGTCCGAGCTGTGTCCACCCTGTGTTCTCTACGTGTCCTAGCCATGTCCACCTTGTGTTCTCTGCGTGTCCTAGCCATGTCCACCTTGTGTCTAATAAAAAATAATTTCTGGGCACCTTGTGTCTAATAAAAAATAATTTCTGGACACTTCACAGAAATGTCGAGCATGTGTCCGAGCCTTGGACACACATGTCCAAGCTTTAAACACGCGTGTCCGTGTCCAAAAAGTGTCCGACACTGATATAGAACCCCTAAGAGGAGTGTCCGTGCTTCATAGGGTGAAAGTCATGTGTCACATGGACAGAGTCACAGAGGTAGAGAAACAGATAGAGAGAGTTTAAAGCTTACCTTTGAAGTTAGAAGATGAGCCTCCTGCTGAAAAGTCAGCATTTGGATGATAATATGGTCTTGAAACTGATTCGGATAAATGCCCAATATCATCCTCTATGCGTCTTCTCTTTCCTCCAACACCCCACATACAATCATTATTATTATTACCACCACCACCACCACCACCGCCACCTATATACTCCTCCTCTTGAACGTGTCTAGCAAAATCTTCACCCACCTGATCACCAGACACCACATGGGTCAGAGTTGACATCTCTCGCTCTCTGTTGTGCCCTGAAAACATCGGCAACACCGACTCCAAGTTCTCCAACAGCCCAACATTATTCCCATCTTCTTTAATTAGTCCTCTGCCACTAGTTCCAATTCCACAGTTGTTATCTGAATCTGTTAGGCCTAAACCCATAGTCTCATCGAGGGCGTTGCCAGCCGCCATAGCCATTGACACAGTGAGAGAAGAAAGTAAAATATGAGTATTTGAAGTAACACAGAGCGTGTTTTTGTTGCCATTGTTGTAAATGCTAGCAATGACGTCATATGACCAGGCCTCAATGAGGCGTTTCAGGATCTCCATCTGGGTCTCCTTTTCTGAGGCCACAGCTTCAGTGTTGAGAAACAAAGGGCTATCGATATTTTGGTGATGAGATTTATATGGCACCAAATTCAGAGCCTCATTCCTTGTCAATATCCAAATATGAATCAGTAAATCAACCAAACAAAACTACCCAAATCAGTAATCAACCAAACAAAACTACCGTTACTACCCAACTAAGTAAATCAAGCAAACACAAACACAAATCAGTAATCATTTGTACTTCAAATATTTGCTTTTTCGAAATCCCCGGACAAAATTGGTCCAATTGAAGTTCAAATATTGGTTGAATTTAACTGGTGCACCAGTGCATAAACAATAATAATCTTTTTATAGCTAGTGGCTTTGCTTTGGATCCTTTTCCAATATTTTACGGGGTATATATAAGAATTAAAAAAAAAAAATTATGTAACTTGGTGAAAGGAAAGCAAAAGAAAAATGAAAAAGAGAAAAAAAAACATTAATTCTATTAAGTTGAAAGAGAAAACAACTTTAGCTTACAACAGACCTAATTCAACTTTCCTTTTCCTCCCTCTTCGGTTCCATCTGTCCCTCTGATTCTTCTTATTTAAGCCCTTTCATTTAACAAATCGCCGACATAGAAGAGTCGGTCTAAGCTACCCAGCCTTATCTAAAGAGCGGACTGACTTCAAGGAAGGTATAGAAGAGTTGCGACAGAAGAGCAAAGGTTCTGTCGCAAGGTCTTCTAGTACAAAACAGATCTTCTTAATAAGGCCTTAAGGCGGTAGACCAGGGATTCTGGTTACAAGACTTCATAGATCATGAACTCTTATATTTGTGTGTGTGTGTGTGTATTTGAAAAGTCAACGTTGGTGGCTAAAACTCAGCCTTACCTTTGTCAAAAATGACTGCATCCACCCATTGGCTTCACACTTTGAATTGTTTAGCTCAATTTTGTCCTCCATCGATTACGACACCGAATGGACTCCACCATTTAGGGGTGCATAAGAGAATGTGGGATGGGAATTTGAAGAAAATTTCAGTTCTCACTGTTCCGATTTCTGTTCCGATTCTTAAAATGAGGAATCATTGAGTTTCGATTCGGTTTCGATTCCGATCTCACAGTTTAGTTCTGGAATCGGAACCGTGTTCCAGAACCGTAATAAAATATATATATATATATATATATATATATATATATATATATATATCTATTATATTTGATCATCTATTAGGAATATGTATATATATTATATATATTATTTTTAGGGCAAATAATTTCAGCGGCGCTTCCATCTTTATTCTCTCAACTCGAACTTGCCCTCTCTCTCTTTGCAACTGTAAACTACAAAATATACAAGAATCAGAAGTTTAAAACCTATATATTTCAAATCTGTCGGTAAGAATTAAAAGTTTAAAACCCATATCCGCATATCATTTCAGATTGTTCAAAAAATTAAAATCCATATCTTTCAGTTTCCATCGCCTGTTCCAGTTCGGGTTAGCAAGTTTCAGCCGCTGTCTCTCAACTCTCAAGCTTCCCCCCCCCCCCCCCCCCCCTCTCTCTGCAACTGCTAAACTTGCCCTCTCTCTCTGCAACTATAAACTACAAAATCTACAAGAATCAGAAGTTCAAAACCCATATATTTCAGATCTGTCTGCAAGAATCAAAAGTTCAAAACCCATATCAGCATATCATTTCAGATTGTTCAAAAAATCAAAACCCATATATTTCAGTTTCCATCGCCCTCCTGTTCGGGTTCGCAAGCTTCAGCCGCTGTCTGTCAACTCTGGTTAACAGTTCTCATTACTGTTCGGTGACGGTTTGGTTCTAATCTATACGGTTCCAGTTCTGGTTCTAGTTCTGACCAGAACCGTAAGGAACTGAACCGTGTGCACCCCTACCTTCATTTCCCTACTCTCCTTCTTTTTTAACACCACAACGACAACCACACACCATGAAAATTATGGTATCTTACATATATATATATATATATATATATATACACACACACACACACACATATATATTTATCTCACCATGTTATAAACCCACACCACTGGAAAGAAAGGAGAAAACAATGCCAGAGATGTAAGGAAGGCTAGGAGGGCCACCGATTGATGCATTAGTGATGTCGATGAGCTTATAAAGAGGGTACTCAGTTGGTCACCGACTGATAAGTACTGAAAGATGCACAATTCAGCCCTTATTCTTGCATTAGTTACCACCTTATTCTATCTTTATTCTCTAATTTTAGTTTTAATTTATTTTATTCCCCATTTTCAGTTGCTTAGTGTTAATCCGAGTTAAATCCAGTGCTTAAGAGGTCCAATTGGAGATTATAGCAGAATGGAGCAAAGAAAACAAACTTGGAGAAACATTTAGAGAATTTCGATCGATTGGATTTCAAGGTGACTTTGTTCGGATTCTGATCGATCAGTAACTTAACCCGATCGATCGGATGCATGCCAGAATGTTGCGAGCTTCAGATTTTTAGTTCTCTTCAAGCCAACTCATGGTGTACTTAACTAAGGGTCCTTATGTATGGGGTTTAACCTCATTTATAGCCCAAGGTGTTAACCAATAATGAACTCTAGAGGGGGTGAATGGAGTCTTTGTTTAATAATGACAGATTTAAAATTAAGTAGATGTGCAATATGCAATTTTGATTTGACATGTATGAGTTAAATGGTGGTGTCGGTCGTCGCATGCACCAAAGTTGCAATGTGATATGGCCAAGTTTGAATTTATAAAATGCCACTACCACTTCAAACTAAAATATAGTAAGAGTGAGTAGGGATCGTCCCATGGGAAAGGAGTCGCACTATGGAATCAATTATAGAGTAGTAGGTCGAATGATCAAAAGAGAGATTGAATTTGATTAAACTAAAGTTCAATTAAAGCATGCAATTAACAATCTAGAATTTAAAGGGAAATAAATGAGAGAGAGATGACTTGGGGTCAAGAGTTCACCACTAAGCTTCACTTCACCAAACATTAGCAATTGTATATTAATGGGGAAAATTAAGTTGTAACTTGTGTGTGTGTGTGTGTGTGTGTGACATTAATTGAAACTAAGCATGGAAGACAACTAAGTATAGATTGTCTAGCCAATTTTAATTAATAACACAACCTATCAAATTAGACCAATATCTATTCAATTAAACCACAATTAATGCACATACAAATATCTAGAGACATACACTCTTAGCATTCCCAAGTATGGAACATCAAGAAACAAGAATGGATTGTCCGCCTATCTAAGAAATTAAAGCAATTACACTATAACTAAGCTAAAGACATGAAATTAAGTTAATTAAACTAAGGGTGTGGCACAATCCATCAAGAAACAAGTGTCAACCATCAAATAAATCACAAGAGTGTTTAATTAAGCACCATGCTTTGACCTTCACTAGATTAACATCATCAACACATATAAACATACATTAATTCCATTTGACCTTCACTAGATTAACATCATCAACACATATAGACATACATTAATTCCATTAAATCTAGAGGAAAACACATGAACATTCATTCTAGCATACATAGACATATGGATATAACTAAATAGTCAATTGAAAGCATTAATCCATACACATCAAGTAGAAATCACAAGATATATATTTATTCAAGATCAAAACATTTATTGCAACTAAAATCCCCAAAAATACACAAAAGCTAGGTTTGAGAAGCAAGCCTAGGGGCTATCTCTAGCCCCAAGTAAAGGATGTAGCCACTCATTGTAGTGGTCATAGAACCCTCAAGGGCTAGCTTGGAGGTTGACATCATCATCTTCATCCTTATTTTCTTCTCAAAAACCCTAGTTCTAGAGAGAAAAAATATCTATTCTCTCTAAAAAAATTACAATCTCTAATGAATTGTTCTCTATTGATTCATTACATCCCACTTTAAGCAGGCACCAAGTTAGAATAATAGCCTGTGATTGGAGGAAATTAGCAACTATGCAAGTTAGGTATAAATCAGTGCGCTCGGGAATTAGACAGCACACTTCCAGCAGGCACTTCGATCAATTGGACACTTAACTTCGATCAATCGAAGGTGATGTGCCCTATAAAATATCTTCTAGTCTTATCCACTTTGCTGAGCTGGCACCGCCTCATTTCGATCTATTGTAGACCTCTTCAATCGATCGGGATTCCCTTCGATCGATCGAAGTTCCCCTATTGCATTTTTCTTGGCTTCTTTCCAACTTTGCTCCTTAGCTCCAAAAGTGGTCTAAATGGCTCTTGTTAGCCTGTTTGAACATTATTCACCTGAAACAGGCAATAACACAAATAAGTACTTAAGACATGAAAGTAAGATAGATGAATTGACTAAAATACCCTATCTTAGGTGCTAAAATGTATCATATTTGAGCACTTATCACACCCCCAAACTTAGATATTGCTAGTCCATAGCAATAAACTACAAAGAAAAGAAAGACATAAACAACTAAACAACTATGAACTAGAAAGCAATAAAAAGATAATGCCACTTTCGTAGGGAACATGATTACATTTAGCATATGTTTGGGCCCTTCATCTTTCGGCGCGAGAAATTCAGTGCTTGATGAAGCTAGAATCCTGGCTACTCAATGAAAAAGGGTTTGTTATCCACCTTTATCAAGAATGAAAGCTTTCAATACACTACTAACCCAATTAGGATATAACCAATTCAACAATCAACAAAACATGTACCCCACAAATGAATGCTAGTGTGCACCTGTGCTAGTGTAGAATCCTAGAGTGAATCTCAAAACAATCTTAAAATCAGGATGATATGGACCATAAGTGCAAGCATGATATCAATCTTTCGAAAAATTTACTCCTAAATGGCATCCACAAGGCATACAAGGAGTATTGGACTCTCAAGTTAAGCAATTTTTAAATTTTAAACAATATAGTCCTCAAAAGATCAAAATCATCGCTAATTATGGACCAATCATAGACAATCCCTCAAATACACAAGTCATACTTAAAATTTTACATTAAAAGCAAATACTATAATTAACAACATTACCCCCTCCCCAAACTTAAATGGCACAATGTCCTCAATGTGCAAAGAGAACATATGAAAGAGTATACTAGTGTAGCTACAACAAAGAATGGCCAGGACACAAGTATCCAAAGTAGGTGGTATAACCCCCCCAAACTTGGGATTAACCGTGGTCCTGAAAAGATGGCACTGGATAAAAGCTCATTAGATAACAAAGGTGAATAATAACAGTGCACAGTGGACATACAAGTGTAAATGGGATAAGAAATTGAAGTAAAGAGAGAGAGAGAGGAAAAAGGGTGGTCCTGAAAATTTGGGCAGCACTCTCTCTCACTGAAGTTACTAGGATGCACCTGATGGAGTTAATCAAATACAGATATATCAATACAAGGACATCCAGAAGATAGTAAAATATAGCATATATAGTAAAAGATAAAAATAATGTACATCAAAATGTCTGGGCAATAGACTGGCCGAAAAAATATAATAACAGTAGTAAAAATAGCAAATATCACAGATATGTAAAGCAGGTAATAGAGAGATATGAAGATCATGCTGAGGAGGTAGGACGAGCAGGGCGCGCTCCACGGATATCTCGGGATATGTCTCGCAGAGCAGTCATGACATCCGTACACAGGGAAGAAATGTCAGCTCTGATGGAGACAGTGTCTGCGTGGAGAGAGACTACGGCATCCTCTAAAGCCTGGAGACGCTCTCCAAAGCTGGGTATCTGTACTGGAGCCTCAGGTATGACTGGATCAGGAAACTGTGGTACATCCTGAGCGTGCTCCAGAGAATGAACTGGCAACCCTGCTGAAGAGTGATGTTGTAGA